AAGCGGGACTCCTAGATGCCAGTGCTGAAGGTTAGCTCCATGGAGAGTTTCAAGTTAGATCCATTCAAAGTGGGTAACTTCTCCACTAGGTTGCCTGATGTTTGGGAGATCAAATTAGCCCTCTCTGTAGCGAAGGGGCATTCAGTCTTGAATTCCTCCATCATCTTGAGCAATCCCTGAACTCTACATAGGCGTTCATTTAAACTGTAATTCTGTACCCGCCTAATACTTCCTTGGCTTGCCTTTTCTTTTCTTTTTTCAGTTTTTTTCTTTTATCCATAGGACATGTGTGCTCACCAGAGACCCAGCGGATGGCCACGCTGCTATCTATCCCTTCTCCATTTTCTTCTGGGGACCTGGGGCATGTATGTACACACACGTGCCCAGCATGATTTTCAAGCTGCTGGATCTGGGACTCAAACAGCATTCGGCCACGTGGGAGTCCAGTGCCTGAACCACCATGCCACCTGCTGGCCCCGCACCACAGGGCTACCTTAAGCCTGAAGACCATGGTGAACAGACATTCAACTCCTGCCAGGGTCACCTCTGTGTACCACTGCCTCTTTAGGAAGGAGGACAATCACAATACCTGAAATAAAGTCAGCATCAAAACACACACTTAGGGGCAAGGAGGTTAAGGTGCTGGACTCCCACATGACCAACCATGGTTTGAGTCCCAAACCTGGCAGCTTGAACATCACTCCGGACACATTTGTGTGCAGGCCCGAAATCCCAGGATAATGGAGGAGAATGGATTGCAGCATGTCCATCCCCCTGTGGGGTGGTGATTTTTCACTTTCTGGAAACTCTGTTTCTCTCCAGTGAGCATTCACACCCTATTGTGAAAACTTTAACCGAAAGACAAATCAAGAAGAAAGCACACACAGGAAGTCACAGGTGGCCTTTGCCACCCGATCACTCAGTGCTGTAATTTTATCACAGCTCTGTGGGCCCTCTCTGTTACTTTCATAGGCTGTGACATTGGGGACCCTTTGGGAGAAACTGTTATAATATTCATAATTTATCCTCTAGGGAAGGTTGGGAAAAATGAGGTCACTTAGCTGTCACTCTTCGGAAATTTAAAGCAGCTGAAATACTGATTTCATCACATGCTCACTTGTTCATCCCCCCAGCATCTGTGGAGCTCGTTCTCCATGCTGGGCCCCACATGGCCTTCCGCACTGGCGGACATGCTGAGCTGCAGAACAGCGGGCACGATTCCTGCGGCACTCTCGGCTGGCCTCAGGTTCAGAAAAGCAGGAGGGGGTGCAAGGGACTGGGGGAGCCCCGATAGCAGGGGCCTCAGCAGGTCTATGACAACACTGGCCAGCTGTGACCACGGCAACCCCACTCCACCCCACTTCCCTTCTCATGGCCGACACAACTTGCTTTTGAGACCAATGCTAATCCATTGCCATTCAGGGGAGAGAGTCCAGATGGCCGACCTGAAACCCGCACTCCTCCCCTCACATCCTCTGCACTGGGAGAGGGGGTCTTATATATATTCTTTTATGTCTTCTCCCATCTCCAAGGCACCAGGCTCCTTTTCCTTTTTAAACGACATCTACTCAGGACAGTGTAAATGGAGTGACGCAGACTTTGGGGAGAGCCCCCCAGACCTAAATCTCTCCACTACCAGCTGTCTGGTTTGAGCGCCATGGAGCTTCAGTTACTGCCCGGGAGAGGACCCGCCTCACGGGGCTTCTGTGGGAACCACAGGGTCATGTATGTGACCTGCCCGGCTCCGAGTGGACGCCCCACGGCAGCTCCCTCAGCAGAGAACGTGCGAGAGAACGCAGAGGTGGGCGAGCCCACGCCAGGCTCACTGCTACACCATTTCTGGAGGATCCAGTCATAGCTTGGGTGACTTGTGTGGATGGTGACATGCTCAACGCAGGGAGCTGAGGACAGAGGCCACCCAGAGCCTGGACACATCACCCAGAGATGTCCAGG